ATACATAAAAAATAATAAAATTAAATGTTTTGTATATAGAGTTTGTACATCAAAGTGTTAATAATATTGTATCTCATAATAAGTATTTTACCATGTAAATATATATACATAATTTTTATTTTTGAAATATCTTTTTGAATAATAAAAATTAAAAAAAAATATATATATAGGGGGTTGATCGGCCGGGTCCACTTTTGGTCCGCACAAATAAAAATACCTACTCTGGTGGTGGGGAGACCATAATTAAACATACTCTAAGTGTGACTCATTACTTGGTACTAAGTTCACTACAAAAATTGTACGTCCACCGGTGGACGGGCCCAAAGGAGATTTGTCCTTATGAACTGTGATTAAATTTTTCCAGTAGTGGAGGAAGACCCTAATGCCGACGCACAGGATTGAGTACTTTTTTTTTATCTGCTACTCGACACTTCTCTGAAAAACCTATAAGGAGGCCGTGAAATTTTAAATTTATTTAATCCCATTAAATACTTAATATTTAAATTAAAGAATTTTCTTAAGCATGCTCCTGTTAATTTTCTTGCACATAAACAATAAATCAATTAAGCATATGCATAATTAAAGCCAATAATAAACTAGGAAATAAAATCTCACTATCATGGTCGATAATTAATTTTCCAATTCTTTTAGAATAAAGAAATCCTTGTCCTTGTATAATTGCATCTTTCCTTTCGGACATGGAATTTTCTTTTCGTCGTGGCTCTCACTTTCCTTCTTGAACAAGCAACTTTAGTGGGGTATCCTTGTTCGCTGGAGAAGCCATCACCGGGAAAAATTCACGCCTCGGGTAGTCGTCGTGTGGCGTCGCAGTTATAGGAAAAATGTGGTTTGCTCTGTGCGGTGCTCAGTCGGGTGATGTCGGCATGCGTGCGCTCTACGCGCGCTACCTTGATCGTCACCTAGCGAGCCAACACTTTGCTCGGGGTCTGCCTATGTCCGCGTGCCGCAGCGGTTGTCGCCCGCCCTCCTGTCGACCCGGCTCTGCCGATCGCGCACGTCTCGGCAACGCTCGCACCTGAAATCAACTCTTCACAAATGCATTTTCCCTACTCAGTCTCCTGAAAGACAGATTTTGGACAATGTGATTTTGCCTAATGAAATTCTTACGCTTTTTTATAATAGCAAAAATAAAGGCTCAGTTAGGTATATGGTAGTAAAACTTGGCATGGCTAAAGCCTATGACATAGTAGAATGAGATTTTTTAGCAAAAGTTCGTTCTAAAATGGGCTTCCATCTTAAGTTTATAGCCTGGATTATGACCTGTGTGAGTTCGATCATCTTCATTTTCTTTCAATATCAATGGTCTAAGTTCTTGGTTCAATTGTCCCAATTAGATGAAAGTTCCGCACAACATGTAAGCCCACAAATGAAGAAGACGGCTAGCCACTAATGACTCCACCAACCTTCTTTCACACACACTTTCAACAGTGGTGTGCTAAATCTTGCCTATAAATAGGCTTCTTATTTCACTCATTCAAATAACTCTAGAGTGTGATCAATCAACCTTGAGAGTGTTGAAACATCACCAAGTAGAGTTGTGAAGAGTTTGAATTTATTTATTTTTTATTCTTGTGAGTAATAGAAAGTTATTTTTCTCTCAGTTATGATTATGATCTTCGGATGATACCACAACAAATGGTATCAGAGCTTGTTTGAAGCTTTCGAGCTTAATTTTGAAATTTTTCGAGATTCTGTAGAAATTTCGAGTTTCAAAGTTGTGCTCGAAATCAATTCCGAGGACACCGCTAGATTCGTCTCGTCGAGATAGTCACGATGGTATCTTACAGGCAAAAAAACGGATACGTGCTTGAAAAAGCACTTTGAATTTCTAAAAAAAAAAAAAATCTGGGGAAGAAGATGATGATGTGTCGCCACATCATCTGACACGTCATCACCATGTCAGCGAGGAAAGGCCCAGCACCTGCCATATCAGCAATCCAGTCATCTACCACGTCACCAACCCAGTCATATGCAACGTCAGCGAAGAGGGTCCAGTCACTGCCACGTCAGCAGTCCGAGTCAGCTGCCACATCAGCAATTAGATCCCAGTCAACCGCCATGTCCTCCCTATTTTCGACTATTCCGGGCGCAATGGTGCTATCTATTTTACAAAATACAGCTCTGATTGGTCCCAAACAAATCATGAAGATGTAAAATAGACATGGAAGAGTCAACTTCATCTTATGGAGCTATGATTATGCTCATGGCTACCAATTATACGTCGTGGAAACCTCGGATGGAAGATTTCCTCAGCTATAAAGAGCTCTTTGACCCAATAGAGCTGAAGGGTATTAACCTTGATCCGTCCAAGGCGTTAGAATGGAAGAAAATCAATAGAAAAACTATTGGTCAAATCCGACAATGGATTGATCATAGTGTCTTCCATCATGTTGCACAAGAAACTGATGCATATGACCTTTGGAAGAAGCTAGAGGACATGTACCATGCCAAGACCGCTCATAATAAGGCCTTATTGATGAGGCGCTTAGTCAATATGAAGTTGAAAAGTGAAACTTCTGTTGTCGCGCATACCGATAAGTTTCAGAGCCTGGTAAATCAACTAACTTGTGCAGAGATGCTGCTTGGAGATGAAATGCAATCTCTACTATTTCTTAGTTCCCTTCTTGATAGCTGGGAAACACTCGTTGTTACTCTCAGCAATTCAGCCTCAAACGGCAAACTTGCCATGTCCGTTGTCAAGGATGCCTTATTCAATGAAGAGGCAAGAAGAAAAGACATGGGCACAAATCAGACTCATGCTCTTGTAATAGAGAATCGAGGAAGACCACAAGACAAGCAACAAAGAAGCGGTAGAGGGAAGAGCAGGTGTTTGTCCCGTTTTTGTTGCTATTTTCGTTGTTATTTTGTGTGTCATTTCCCCCGTTTTAGGTCTTTTCGTAGGTATTTTCGGTCCTCTTTGTCCTTTCTTATGCTTTCTTCTTTATTTCGGTGTGTTTAGTGTTTTCTTTATTTTCGTTCCTATTTTCTTGTTTTCTTTGTGTTTTTCTTTCCCGTGGTGTTGGTTCCAGGTCTTAGGATGATTGGAGGAAGAGCACTCTGGCAAATAGGGAAGTATGTTGTTCGAGCATCGGGCATGCAAAAGTTGAGTTCCCAGCTCGGGCAGTACCCGAGCGACATAGACGAGCGCACGAACCAAAGAAAAAGCAGCAATGTTGATCTTCTGGGCCTTAGCGCCGCTAAGGTGCCTTAGCGCCGCTAAGGCCTTGGCTGTTAGCGCCGCTTTGAAGTACAACGGGACAGACAGCTGCAGCTTACCTTGCTTAGCGGCGCTAAGGATCCTTAGCGCCGCTAAGGCGGCTTAGCGGCGCTAAGAACCCTTAGCGCCGCTAAGGTCTGTTTTGTAACAGCTGCGCGATTTCCGTGATTTCGAATTTGGAATGTTATTTGCTGAAGCTTAGGTCATTTTTGGGGACATCCAGACCTCGTATTTCAGACTTTTCACCTTAGAACATTTCTCTCTTGCACTTTTCATCTTGAGTTTAGCTTTTGGATTGAAGAACTCCTTTTCTAGCTTTTGGATTTCGGATTGCTTGTGTTTGTTCGACATTGGATTCAAGTTAATCGTAAGCATTTCTTTTCTTATTTGATATGATGATGTTTGCTTGGGTTAATGAATGTGTTGATGTTGAATCGATTATGAGTAGCTAAATTCAATAACTAGGGTTAGGGGATAATTGTTCCGGTTCGATTTCGTTGATGTGAATGTTGATTGCTCGATCTAGATGAGTTAAGCTTAACCTAGGGTTGAATGTCTGATCATCATTTAATCTACTTAATTGATTTTAGAACCGAAAGGGGAGAAATCGATCGACCTCGGCTTGTTTAGAATAGACTTGTTCGGTAACGTATTGTCTATGTGCTAATGAATTCGATAATTGCTCGTTTATGTTTATTCTCTTGTTTCGTGAGATATTGAGAATGAATTTCTAGATGAATAGGTTATTGTTGTTCATTAGCTGAGTAATTGATTGCCCGTTTAATGTATTGAGAACCGGATACGATTGTCCCCGATACCCTAGTCCCTTTAAACTATTGGAATTTGTGTTTTAATTGATAAGTTTAGAATTCATTGTTTGCTTTCATAATCACTTGCTTTACTATTAGTAGTCGTTAAATCAAACTATCAATCTTGAATTAGAGTGTTTAGGACTTCTTTTCTCATTTCGTGTGTTGAATAACCGTGCAAAATAATCCGGCTAACCTTCCTTGTGACACGACCCGGTGTCGAATCTTTGGGTTCTACTCCGGTTAAAAATATTTACAACAGCAGGGATAGAAGCAAAATGAGGCAATCAGATTATAAGAGATCACATGTGTGTTATGATTGTGGTCTAGAAGGTCATATGAAGAAAAATTGCTATAAATGGCTCGAGGAGCAGGGTAAGAGCAATTCTCAACCGAAAAATAGTTCTCAACAGAAGAACAAGGGCAAGGGTGGTAAACTCTCATCACTGTCTCAGGTGATGTAGCATATTGCTCTAACCATGGTGAGACATGCCTTCATGTCTCAAGAGAAGACATAGAATCAGTGGTAGATACTGCAACATCCTATCACGTTACTCCCAATAGAAAATACTTCACAACATACCAAGCTGGAGACTTTGGATCAGTGAAGATGGGAAATTCCAGTTCCTCTAAAATTGCTGAAATTGGTGATATCCAGGCAACGACAGAAACCCGGAGTACAATTCTATTAAAGGATGTTAGACATGTTTGGATCTTAGGCTGAATCTTTTGTCAGTGGTGGCTCTTGACAAAGAAGGATATGAAAATCACTTTGGTGCAGGCACATGGAAGTTGTCAAAGGGTGTTCTATAAATTTCCCAAGGATATGTTTGTGGGAAGGTGTACAAAAAACATCTGAAGATCAATACAGAAAGTCTCAATGTTACAGAGGAGGATTCTCAAGATATATGGCACCAAAGACTTGGCTATATGAGTGAGAAAGGGTTGACTACCCTGATGAAAAAAATATCTTATCAAGGTTGATAAGAGTGCTGCGTTGAGTTCTTGCAGTCATTGCTTGTTCGACAAGCATCATAGAGTGTTATTCAGTGCCAATTCAACAAAAAGATCAGAGTTGTTAAGCTTGGTACACTCTGATGTTTGCGGTCCCATGAAGGTTGAATCACTGGGTGGAAGAAGATATTTTCTAACTTTCATTGATGATGCTTCGCGAAAGGTGTGGGTATATTTCCTGAATACGAAGGACCAGATGTTCGAGTACTTCAAGTCATTTCACGTCATGGTGGAACGTGAAACAGGAAAGAAGCTGAAATATCTTCCATCTGATAATGGAGGCGAGTATACTTCCAAGGAGTTCAATGCATACATATGACATTCGACATGAGAAGTCAGTACCACGTACCCCTCAGCACAACGGCGTTGCTGAAATAATGAATCGTACTTCATGGAGCGTGTCTGAAGCATGATGAGTATGGCTAAATTACCAAAGTCATTTTAGGGAGAAGCTGTCAAGACCGCATGTTATCTAATCAACCGATCACTTTCAGTTCTATTAAATTTTGAAGTTCCAGAGAGAACATGGACTGGTAAGGATCCGACATACTCACATCTCAGAGTATTTGGTTGTGTAGCATATGCACATGTATCCAAAGAGCTCAGAAAAAAGCTCGATGCGAGGTCGATCCCATGCATTTTCATTGGTTATGGAGATGAAGAGTTTGGATACAGATTTTGGGATCCAAAGGAGAAAAAGATGATCAGAAGTAGGGACGTCGTGTTCCAAAAAAATTTGACAATAGAAGACATAGAAAAGCTCAAGATGTCTCAAAACTCGAATGTGGGTGCTCAAGTTTCAGATGAAGCACCAAAATTGTTCCGGAGAAACAATGAAGAAGATGTACCAGAAGAAGAGGAGGAGACAAAAGAGAGTGCAGAGCAAGGAGAGCAACAACCCATCTTACCAGAGCAAGGGGAGCAACAACCTATCTTGGCAGAGCAAGGGAAGCCACAACCCATTTTTTCAGACACCAATATTGGAAGTTCTTCTTAGATGGTTCTACCCACTCGTAGATCTGAACGGGATCATATACCATAAAAAAGGTACTCATCATCTAAATACCTTCTATTGACAGAAGATGGAGAACCAGAGAGATTTCAAGAAGCCATATCCCATAAGGATAAAGAAAAATGGATGATTGCGATGCAGGAAGAGTTAGATTCTCTGTAGAAAAATCAAACGTATGAGATTGTTAAACTTCCAGAAGGGAAAAAGACTTTGAAAAACAAATGTGTGTTCAAGATGAAGAAGGATGCAAATGGACAAGTGGTGAAACACAAAGCTCGATTGGTAGTCAAATGCTTTCAGCAAAAGAAAGGGATTGATTTTTTACGAGATCTTCGCACTAGTTGTCAAGATGACATCAATTCCAGTCATACTTTGCTTGGTAGCAAGTATGAATTTGGAGCTTGAACAGATGGATGTGAAGAAAACTTTTCTTCACGGAGATTTGAAAGAAGAAATCTATATGCAACAGCCAGAAGGTTTTGAGGTTTCAAGTGACAACCTAGTGTGCAAACTATCTAAAAGCTTTTATGGCCTGAAGCAAGAAACAATGCAGTGGAATAAGAAGTTTGACTCATGCATGCATAGTCAATGTTACAAGAAGACTACTGCAGATGAGTACGTTTACATCAAGAAATACTCAAACGGGGCTTTCATAGTTCTTCTACTGTACGTCGACGACATTTTGATCGTTGGGAATGACGCAGAGAAGATAAGTCAGCTGAAAAAGAACGTTCCAAGTCTTTTGATATGAAAGATTTAGGAAAGACTCAACAGATTCTCGGATGCAGATTACTCGAGACCGAGAAAACGACAAGTTATGGTTATCTCAAACAAAAGTACATTGCGCGAGTACTTGAAAGATTCAATATGAGTGATGCCAAACCAGTGAGTATTCCACTTGTGAATCATTTCAAGTTGAGCAAAAGATCATGTCCCACATCCAAGGAAGAGATGGGGGAGATGTCTGCTGTACCATACTCTTCAGCAGTTGGAAGTCTGATGTATGCAATGGTATGTACAAGGTCAGATATTGCTATGTCGTGGGTGTAGTGAGTCGTTTTCTTTCTAACCCCGGGAAGGAGCATTGAGAGGTAGTCAAATGGATTCCTAGCTACTTGAAGTGTACTTCTAAGTTATGTCTTTGTTACGTTGTAGCTGATCCAATCTTGGAAGGATATACTGATGCTGATATGGCAGGATATATTGATTGTCGAAAGTCTACTTCGGGTTATGTCTACACTTTTGCAGGGGGAGCCATTTCTTGGCAATCAAGATTGCAGACGTGTGTTGCTTTATCCACTACAGAAGCTGAATATATTGCTGTCGCTGAATCTGGTAAAGAAATGTTGTGGCTAAAACGCTATCTCCATGAACTTGGGATCAAGCAGAAAGAGTACAAGGTATATTGTGATAGTCAAAGTGCAATTGACTTAAGCAAGAACTTTATGTACCATGCCCGCATAAAGCATATTGATGTTCGATATGACTGGATACGCGAGAAGATTGATCAACAGCTATTGAAACTAGTGAAGATCAATACGAAGGAGAATCCATCAGATATGTTAACAAAAGTGGTTACACTGGATAAACTTAAGCTATGCAGAGATATAGTAGGAATGCTTGTTCGGAATTTGCATGGAAAATGGAGAGTTGAAAGTCCTATGCAACATGTAAGCCCACAAATGAAGAAGATGGCTAGCCACCAATGCCTCCACCAACCTTCTTTCACACACACTTTCAACAATGATGTGCTAAATCTTGTCAATGGTGGTGTGCTAATCTTGCCTATAAATATGCTTCGTATTCCGCTCATTCAAAGCATCCTAGAGTGTGATCATTCAACCTTGAGAGTGTTGAAACACAACCAAATTGAGTTGTTGAGAGTTTGAAAGTTTTTTTAGAGTTTGTAAATCTCTTGTTTTTATTCTTGTGAATAATAGAAACTAATTTTTCTCTCAATTATGATTATGATCTTGGGATGATTCCACAATACTAGAGACTCTCTATCTTCATATATGCTCATTATTTTGTCTGTAGCCTTATCCAACCTTTGGAGCAAGCTTATCTAAACTCCACTTTCTCTCGTATGAAAATTATTAGTTTGAGTTACCATATTATTATTATTATTATTATTATTGGGTACAAACCAATTTTAAATTTGAGCACGTTATATTTGCATTATTATTACTATTCTTGGGTACAAACCAATTTTAAATTTGAGCACGTTATCTTTGCACCATTGTCAAGTCAAAAGCGGCATCAAGTTAAGTTTTATTGCATGGCCCATATATAATATAAGAAATAATATAAATGGGTGTTTGGCGGTCAGTATCCATCCATCAAGATTTTGCTGATGAAACTTAATCGTGCTTATTAGTTGTTTCGATTGATTGAGCAAAATATTCGATCCACACCACACACAGATACTATTATTTAATGCATCACATTTATCACACTTTCTGTGGGCCCCACCTCCTCGTGTTAATGTCTGATTCCAACCTGGCAGCAGGTACCTTCAATTCATCAAATATTCAATTCGATCATACGTTTTTTCCCAAAAAAAAAAAGTTACACATGCATATTCGGAGAATTTCGAATCGTTCCTCGTTCTGTTGAAATCACTCTGAATCGAAAAGTAATCGTTAACCATTTGATTTCCTCTAAACCAAACCGAACCAAAAAACTAATTGGTACGATTCTGGAGATTTTACAAATATCTGTACCGAGAACCGAAGAACCAAAATTAAGAATCGAATTATAACACTAGATGTGTTATTAATATATTTCATGTCAACTTTGATCATATATAATATAGCAATAAAAATTTACCTTCACTTAAATTTTATATTTAGTAATACTCGATCTACAATTGTTTTTTTTTTCTATTATGAAATAGTATGAAAGGTTAAAGTATATTTTTTTAAGAAAAAATATTATATTTATATGAATTTTATATTTCCAATATTAGTAATTTAGTCTTAACTAAAATTTAGAGTTACTTCTAAAGTTGATTTCAAAATAAAATCTTTAATACGAGGAAGTATTGATGAATGTTGGTTTTATTATAACATATAAAAATTAAATAACTAAAACTTAGAGTTACTTCTAAAATTGATTTCAAAATAAAATCTCAAATATGATGAATTATTGATGACTGTTGTTTTTTAAAGCAGATATAAAATTAAATATAACTATGTAGTCATTAAAAAAAATTTAAAAAAATAAGAAATTTCCGAAGATCCGACCCAAACCATACCAAATCGAACCGTCTCATTAGTCCCGAATACCGAACCGAAAAATAAAAATATCGGAACCAAACCGAACCGACCTTTTGGTACGGTTCCAGAGGTCAAATTTTAGGATTTCTAAATTTTGGTACGGTTCCGGAGATTTATCAATCTTTTAACCGTACCGACCAACGCTCACCTCTACAAAGAATGAGTTACGTTGTAATTTTAATTTATTTCAAAATAAAATAATTACGGTAAACAAACAGAATTAATACTTTTAATGGATTAATTAATTAATTAATTAACTAATCAGATTGGCGTTATAATAGATGTTCCTATCTTGGGGGTATTTTTGTCTTTCGAACAATGAATGATCAAACTTAAAAGAATTACAAAATGCCTAAAATAGCCTCGCACCAAAGTATATATAAGTACTACTTTGCATCTCCTAAACAAAAACTACACTTTAAAGAAAATAATAATAATTATTCCAAAAAAAAAAAAACAACAAAAATGGCAGCAGCTTCGGATGAGATTGGGGCTCTCACCAGAGCTTTCTCAGGTTCACATTCATTTAATTAATTAATTTTGTTTTAATTAATTAATTAATTAACCTACATAATATATATATAAATTGTGATCATGGAGCAATTTAATTAAAAAGATATTAAATAATAATAATAATAATAAATTAATTTGCATGCAGGTGTTGGTGTGGATGAGAAGGCTTTGATAAGTATATTGGGTAAGCTGAATCCCGAGCAAATGCAGAGTTTCAGGAAAGGCAGCCGGGAATTATTCCGGGAAGACGAGCGTCAATTTGAGAGGTGGGACGATCGCCATATTTTGCAGCTTCGTCATGAATTTTTACGTCTCAAGGTAACAACTTTTCTAAATGCAGAGTTTCTCGAATTTAAATTAATGTCAATGCAATCTTATAACCCAAACCTACTTGTCAACTTTGAATGCTTCGTAATTTTATTTGTCGAATTCTAAAGCTTCATAATCTTATATGTTAAATTCTTGTGCTTCGGTGTAGTATGTGTAGATTTTGACTTTTATTCATGTCTATTTAAAGTTTTGATGAAACTAGCTAGAAACACTTCATCTAACTTAAATTATAAATATATTTTTAAGTATTAATTATTTTTTATTTGTTATCAATTTTTAATACGTGATATATTAAATCAATTATTTATTGATGATCTTTGATTTTATACATAAAAAAAAATTATATCTTTCTACATCAATAAATTTTAAATAATATAACATTTTCTAATTGAAAAATAATAAAAATAAATATATTTGCTAAGTCTGTTATATGATTTAAAAAAATTGTTATAAAATAAAACCTGAAAATCTTATTACTTGATTGTTATTTTAAATAAAAATAAAAAATAATTTTTGAAAGAAAAAAGGAAGTTAAAAATTTAAATTAGAACTTATATATTTGTAACTCTTTAGGTATAAAGTTTTAATGAACACTCCCTAAATACACAATACTACTAGAAGAAATAAGGAAGCGTATATTAAGCATTACTTGGGTTGGCCTATGTTTGTTGTTCAATCTGGACGCTAGGGCCTAGTTTTTTTGTCTGTTAGGATTTTGTTTTGTGTTTTGTGGTTGTTGTTTTATTTGTTTTGTTGCCTCGTATTTTTGGTCTGGGCCCTTTGGCCTTTGTATCCTGTTGGAATCAGACACACGGGTATTATCATGTTGGGACCTTTTATTGTTTGTAGTTTGTTGTGGTTTTTGGTGTTGTTAGGTTATTATCCTGTTGGGGCCAGTTTTAGGCAAGTTTTTGACCTGTTCTCCCAGTTTATTCAGTCGTTGGCTGTATGTTGTATTCGGCTGGTGGCTGCTCTCTCGCACATTTTCTACTTTTTATATAATATTTCTATCGTTTTTTTGTTTTTTTTTTATAAAAGTATATTAAGCATTACAAAAAATTTGTAATGTTGGTGTGTGCATTTAGTTTAGTACTAGTGTTGATCAAACCTAACCATTAGATAACAAAAGTTTTTAAATAACCATTTTATTAAAAGATATTTTTCGCGCTAAAATGTCATATTTAAGAAAAATACAAATAAATATTTAATATGTTTTAATATAATTATTATTTTTTAGTAAAATAAATAATGAATCGATCCAGCCTACTATTACGTCGTATGACGATAATATTTGTTTAATTTTATTGTATGATTTTTTTAGTAAGATATTTTGTAATTTTGAATGTGACCACAATAATGTTTGAGTTTTTTTGGGTGAAGAGCAAATATAGATTCATGAAGCAACTTAAATCCTATCTCATTCATGGGCCACTGCACCAAGTGAATTTGATCATTGATTTAATCACACATACATATACACATGCAATCATGTGTGATTGTATTCAATAAATGGCCAAATACCTCATTAACTGACTAGCGTCCATGTGGAAGCTCTATCGTTTCGAAAAAAAAATAAAATAAAAAGAAGCAATTTTTTTTCTTATTCTTTTGAAAAAGTATATTGAACAAAATAGAGGTGAACAATATTGAATGACATTTTTGAATCATATATTACATATAATAGATGATGGAATGAAGCTCACATAAAAGCGGAGATAAGTATTAGATTTGTTACTCTATGAATGTAGTTTTACATATATATATGTATAAATAATGGTAGTAATTAATTATAGGATGCGATTGTGCTTTGGACGATGCACCCTTGGGAGAGAGATGCTCGAATGTTGAAAGAGTGGTTGAACAAAGGACCTCAATACAACAATGTGCTCATAGAAATCGCGTGCACGAGATCTTCTGATCAATTATTGGGCGCTAGAAGAGCCTATCACTCCCTCTTCAATCACTCCATCGAGGAAGATGTTGCATTTCACGTTCATGGACCTGAAACAAAGGTCAAATTAAATTATCATACTTATATATATTACTATACTATATTTAAATAAATAAATATTAATTAGACGAAAGGTGTGTTGTGCAGCTTTTGGTTGCACTTTTGAGCTCTTACAGGTACGAGGGCCCAAAAGTGAATGAAGAAATTGCGAAATTTGAGGCCAAAGCACTTGTTGATGCCATAAGGGAAAATGAAAAGAAGGGTGGTCGTCTATTGGAAAATGAAGAGGTTGTGAGGATATTATCCACTAGGAGTAAGCTCCATCTTCACGCAATTTACAAACATTATAAAGAAATTAGTGGCAACTACTTTGACGAGGTATATATAGAATTCAAGATTTTTTTTTTAATTTTCATGTATGTCAATTATAATGATATATATTTTTCATAATTACTATCCGACCAAATATTGGTTATGATTTAAAATTTTGTGTTGCAGGATATTGATGGCGACTCGCACCTTGTCAATGTGGTTGTACAGTGCTTATGCGTACCACACAAATATTTTAGCCAGGTAAAGTACGACATAAAATTTAGGTTGCATACAATTTTTTTAATTATTTTTGATAAATTTTATATTGCAAGTAAGCTCAAAGGTAAATTTACCATTAACGTATTCTATTTACAATTATTTTCACCTTCTAAACCAAATTTATCAAACATGCATGATTTATATTTAATTGTAGGTCTTGGATGCATCATTGAGATATGATGCAGATGAGATAAGCAAAGAAGGGTTGACCAGAGTAATTGTGACAAGAGCAGATGCAGATTTGAAGCAAATTAAGGAAGAATACCACAACAAATTTGGTGTGGATCTTACCAAAAGGATTGAAGATGTGGCCAATGGGAACTATAGAGATTTCTTGCTCACTCTAGTTGCGAGAGGAGATTGAGTTGAGTTTTGGGGAATGTTTTCAATAAAAGCGTTTGAAATATCCTAATAATATGGTTTACTCTATGGTTTTATCTCTACAAACTCACTTTTTAATTTCATTTTGACCTCTATGGTTTGGAGATTGTCATGACATCATATTGTTGAGGTGATTAATGAGTAATATCAAGCAAAAAAAATTTCTTTTATGTGATATTATGATCGATATGATTGTGTATTGCATTGTTCCCGTCGTCCTAATAATTTTTGAGGGAGAAACAGGTCGTATGCAAAAGGATGACATGTATTCCTCACAATGTTATAATTTTGTAACGTTAACAGTTTTGTTAGTATCACTACAACAAACACAATTAGTAGGAATAACATAATTGGCATGGCATGTAAGTTGTGCCTATTCAATAGTTATATGGCAACTACATGAATTAGTCGTGCCTATGTATCGGTAGCATAATTAACACAGCGTTAATCATGCTTATTGCTTCATTATCAGTCTAACCTTAAGGAGTCTGATGTGAAAATCGTGGAGCATATAATTCAGTATGTTCATGGTACTGTGGATTTAGAGATTTTATACTCACATGATACGGGTGATAGTTTGCAGGGTATTGTGTTGTCGATTGGATTGAAAACGTCGATGGCCGACGGAGTACGTCTGGTGGATGTTTTTATATGGGCAATAATTTGATTTTATGGTTGAGCAAAAAGCAAAATTGCATGGCCTATCCATGCTGAGGCCGAATATATCTCTGATGGAAGTTGTTGCTCTCAGTTAGTGTGGATGAAATAAATGATGCTTGGATTTGGCTTCAAGGTAAAAATCATAAACATTTTTTGTGATAACACCAGTGCAATTAATATCTCTAAATCTTGTTCAACATTTTTTTATGAAAGACAATATATGTTACTACTTTATTAGCAATCTGGTTAAGAATGAAGTGATTATTCTTGAATATTTTCCAACACAAAACCAGTTGGTTGATATTTTCACCAAGAGAGTGGATTCTCATAGGTTCATCCCTCTAAGAAAATCTTTAGTGATGTGTACCATTTGAATACTTGCGTAAATTTATTTTATATTATACTGTATTGTATAGTACTATGTATCTCATATATTCGCATTGTGTGCAAGCATATAGAATATTACATTAGTCATACTTTGCATTTTGCCTTAATTTCTCCACAAAGTCATGATATATGTTTGAACTCTGTATAATCCAGTAAGGTTTTATTAACTAAAGTCGTTTGAGTGTTCTTACATGCCGTGGGACTTATTCAATTCTATCAGAAAGAGCTCCGTCACACAATGATCTATTGAGAAAGCTAGCACATGGCTGGCTTATTAAGGGATCTACTATTAAAAAAAAAAGATTAATCAACAAAAATTATAGTGAAGGTTGAAAGTTATGATAGGAATTGATTGTGTGGTATTCCAACATGGTATAATAGGATGGTCATCTTCATAATAAGCCCAGTGCAATATAGTTTATAATGTTCTTGTACAGTTTCAGTTTATATTACATAAAATCATTATTTCAAAATAATGGGGTCGAGTTTCACCAATGTGGTGATTTTTACCAAGTAAAAAGTGACTTTGAATAATAAGGCTTGTTGTCGTATGACCGCCAACGGTTACAACTGATATAAATTAGGCAGTTTAATCGGAGGTTACAATATATTTTATGGTGTAATTGAGGCAATAAGTCAGGAGGGAATATGAACAGATTCTTATTACCTAGAAAGTAAATATGTGGGAAAAATAAACGAGACACCAATGATGTCGATCTGTTGTGGAGATCGACAAGGAGAGTGGTTCTTCAGAATTTTTATTGAGGGACTGTAAAAAGATGTGTTACAGCTATAAGAGAGTGTAAAATCTATGTGAGGGTAGTATTTTTGGGTACATTTGTCATGTATATCTAGTGGTATTTTTCGTGTTGTGGTGAGTTGTTGTGTTTGTTCTTGTTCTTTGAAAAGCCCGAAGGGACCGTTTATACATAGATAAAGTGACACGATAATAAATGCACTGTGTCAGCTAGAGACAAAGGGTGGCGTCATGTGTATCCATGCACTCGTCTTTTGAGGATGAGAGGAGTTGGGCGGTGGCCTATCAGATTTATCGGTTCGTCGTTCAAATTAGGAGAGATCGCCAATCATCTTCGAGAAGACTTAGAGTAAGATCGGCAAGAAGTGATGTTTTCCAATCAGTGGTCGACAGACCTAACACCACATCTTGGATTGTTCGCGTGTTTGTAGCGGGGACTTGTGTAGGCCTAATTAAGCATATGAGCTTTACTCTTTGCGGGTCATGCCTTTAAGAAATTTTGGTATAATATAGGGGCCCTCATGATTTCATGTGTTGAGGGAACGCCTATACACCTTGAAAGCAATTAATCTCAAAATTTTGCCGATCGGGCGTGGCTATGTTGATAAGATGTCTCTGAGGCATTAAATGATTGGATGTAACTTATCGAAATTTGATTGGTCTGAAAAAGTGTGTATTTTATATATTTATTAGCGTTTTTTTATGTGCTTTATTGCACTTATATGTTTTTTGACTTATTTATTTATTAGATGAATTCAAGTGTAATAATATATTTATTATTTATTTTCAGAATATTGGAGTAATTTCACAGACAACGAGAAACTAAACAAAGGCTTCCAGCCGAAGCAGTATGGGGGTGCCCCATACCAGTCCAATTTTGGTTCATATGTTTTAGTTGTGGAAGAAAAGACCCAATTGATATGAGGTTATACGTAGAGATGTTAAACGGGCTAGCCCTAACAGTTTCGGGCTAGCCCTAGCGGGCTTCGGGCTAAACGGTCCGGGCCTAAAAAGCCCAGATTTAAACGGGCTACCAATAAAAGGACCTATCCCTAACCCTAGCGGGTTTCGGGCTAAACGGGCTATGCGGGCTATAATAATAATAATAATAATAATAATAATAATAATAATAATAATAATAATAATAATAATAATAATAATAATAATAATAATAATAATAATAATAATAATAATGTATCCAAAAATAAAATATAAATAAAAAATATATAAATAATTACAACTTCTAATTAACGATTGTTTTCAAGGGCTATTTGGTATTTACCGCTCTATATATACAACTGCACATCATATATGAACACACACTACAAACTCTTAAATAACATATTTTTTTTACAAAGAAAAATATATTCGAATTATTATTTACAATTACCATTTTACTACTTATTTTGTACGCTTTCCAAAATATTTGAATTATTACTTACAATTACTATTTTACTACTTATTTTGTACGCTTTGCAAATTTGTACGATATTATATCATTATAAATTCTATCACTATGTTCCATTTGTTAGGTCTTTGTCTCATGTATTTCCTATTAGTCATTCTGATTGACTTAAATATTTTGGTGTGGAGTACAATAAGAATATTGTTAATAATTATCTTTCAAAATCATATGATTCGTTACAACTCATACTTACATGTGAAATGAAATTGCAAAATTGTAATATACAATGAATCTATGAGCATATTACTTACTTGCTGCAAACATTTACAACGCCCAACTCAAGTTAAACGGGTCAGCCCTAGCGGGTTTCGGGTTAGCCCTAACGGGCTTCGGTTTAAACGGTCTGGGCCTAAAAAGCCTTGATTTAAACGGACTACCAATAAAAAGCCCTAACCCTGTTTTTTTCAGGGCTAAACGGGCCGACCCGTCGAGCCAAGGACCGTTTAACATCTCTACGTGGATTGTTGAGAAAATTACCTAGGCTACTACCCTATATCATTTTTAATATACATATACATCCCATATATAAAATTTAACAAAACAATCAAAATTTCCCATTTTATTTGTACAAACTAGTACGTACCCCCGTGCAATGCACGGGACATAGATATTAATGAATTATTTTCAGACGACTATGTTCGTTTAAGTCTAAAAATCAATAGATTTATCATATATTTTCACTTGTATATTAGGGATAGCTTGTAAAATAATTAATATATTATCTATACATATTTAATTCTTTTTTTACCGGTTATACATATTTATTTCTTAATTTGAAATAAAAAAAAATGTTTGACCAGTTGAGTATTAAATCAGCATTAATTAATTTGTTAAGCAAGTAAAGATGCAAAGCAAGACAATTTAATTATCCAGCAATTTAGGGTAATATATAGTTATCTCCATTATTAAACATGATTTTTAAAAATAAAACAACATCAGCCCCAAATAATAGGCAACATTCATGGTTTTGTTGAAAACCAAAATAACAAAATCCTTAATTAATGGGTAGCATT